ATTGTTAACAAACTCTGTGAATGATTATTTATATTTGCTTTTATAAAATTTTATAATAAAAGATATTAATTGGGTAATTAAAACCTAACCACATTAATGTGTCAAATATTGATCATTTAGAAATATTACATTCCCAATGACCTATATATTTACCCAAAAATATTCCCTTCACACAAACCAAACTGAAATTCCCTTTTAGGTGTGTTTTTAGAACTGGGTGGGAAGGTAGAAAAGAAAATGTCTCATGTCTAAAGATCAATTCTTGGATTCAATCTTTACTGAACACATCTTTATTAAAGGGCTATGGCTTACCACAGGAGACCCACCTTGCCTAACATCTGCATAAATGAGAGCAGGCCCACCCATAAAACAGCATGGCTAATGGGGGGGCACTGGCCTTCATCCTGCTGGCAGCCCACCACCAACTCACTGAGTGACTTTGAGGAAGTGGCTTCATCACCCTTGGGCCTCAGTTTCCTCAACCACATAGTGAAGAGATTGAATTAGATTTTCTGCCGACTCTGAATTCAAGAGGTGAGTCAAAGGGAAGTTTAATAGGCTCTGATTGTTGTTAAAGTAAAAATTCGATTTATTTACTTCTGTGTTCTACAAAGAGAAATTAATTGTTTATAGAAAAGCAGCCGTGGAGGACTTCCTCCCCGTTTAGCAGGAAGCTGGCAGTGACCACTACAGGCTAAGGGTGGACTTGATTGTCTTTAGCTGTAAGGAATCGCAAGTCCGTATTTTAAGAATGCATGTGTTAAACTAGAATAATATTTGACCAAAAAGATTACTCAAATGGTTATTCGTATGGTGCGTTAGCATTTACGAAGGATTTTCGAACATTAGCAAGTCTGAGCCTCCACTCATAGAACGGCATTATCACTATCCTTATTTTGCTTCTGAGGACATTGGGCTGAGAAGAGTGACTTCCTTGACGTGAGCCTGTGATAAACTAGTCCTGATTCAAATCTGATTTCGAATCTCATGCGGATTCTAGCACCCTGCGTGGCTCCTGATGAATTGCTTAAAACATTGCAGATGGATTACAATCCTAAAATTCACTGTAGGGCAAAACAAGAAACTTGAGGTAAGTATCCTGGTTTCCCTGGAGGAAAATCAGAAGCAGGAGCAGAACGCGGTAGTGCAAGTATCCGTGGCTCCTGGAGACCCTTTCATTCATGCAAAGAAGCCCAGCAATTAATGCTTTCGCTCTCTACTCCCGTGAGACCATGAGCATTTCTTTCACCTTCTACAGTTTTCTGTCGTAAGACCCAGGCAGAGCTGGGAAGACAGCACACTCCTGGCATGTTAGACATTCAGTAAACACCAGCAGCCATGCCAGGTCCTGACCATGAGGCCTCCGGGTGCTGGGCGGTGATCGAGGATGCTGGTTTTGGAGCCAGATGCAGGGCATTGGCCTTGAGCAAGTCAGGTCCCTGGCCTGAATCTCAGCACCTTCATCAGGAAAAGCAGCCATTTTTTGGCAGGGTTGTCATAAAGCATACAGTGCTAGCAGTGTCTTAGCATGTTCCTACATGCAATAAATGGTGGCTATATTGATATACACCATGACGCTGAGTACCTTTATTTAAAGTTGCTTGATGAAACAAGCATTTTCTTGTTTCATAGAAAATTCTACTTTAATATAAAATACTATACCATTGAAGAATTTAGATCCGTCACTTGTGATGCCCTAGAAAAATATTCTAAGCCCAAAATAAACTTTTCTAACCACTTCAAAAAAAAAAAAAAAAGAAAAAGAAAATTTTACTTTAGCCAGGCGCGTTGGCTCACATCTATAGTCCCAGCACTTCGGGAGGCCGAAGCAGGATCACCAGAGGTCAGGAGTTCGAGACCAGCCTGGCCAACATGGCGAAACCCCTCTCTACTAAAAATACAAAATTAGCCAGGTGTGGTGGTACATGCCTGTAATCCCAGCTACTCGGGAGGCTGAGGCAGGAGAATTGCTTGAACCCAAGGTTACAGTGAGCTGAGATCATGCCATTGCATTCCAGTCTGGGCAACAAGAGCAAGAATCTGTCTAAAAAAAAAAAAAATTAACCTATTATTCAGTTTGTAGTGACTTATTTTCAAATTGGGGTTTTTAATTGGGAAAAATACCAACCCCATCGTTATGAACAAAATCAGGTAATACAGAGCATTTGAGGTAAGGAGAGAGAACTGACCTAATGATCTTCTTCATTGCAGTTATAGAATTCCTGTCATTCTTTTGGTGGTACAGGGGCACACTTTACTAATGTTTGGTTTGTGAGAAAAAAACGCAGTAGTTGGATTCTCATTGATAAGCTGCTTAAAAAACAAAAACGGAACAGTTAAAATAGGTACTCTGAAACAAAGCCCCTCATACAAACCTCAGGAGGCAATTTTGATTTAGCAACGCAACACACATTTGCTCTCCCACCTCCTTCCCGTTAGCCATGTCTTCCTAAGCCCTCCACGTTAACTTCAGAATGAGAGCCTGTGCAGAAAACATGAGTGCCTCAAGAAATGCAGTCATGAACCAGCAATTTTTCCAGGTTTAAAAAACTCAGAAATCTAGCCCCCAAACTGCTGAGAACTGCCCGGGCCCTGTGATGAAAGAGGTACAGGATACATGCTGAAACGGAGAGGGAGGCAGAGAGTCACCACAAAACCTTGCTCCATAGATGCCAATGATTCTAGAGTCATAAATGACTTTAGATAGAAGGAAAAAAGCTAGATATCCTCAAGAGCACATCATGTCTTTAGAAGTGCACAAATGAAGCTCTTAATCATTTTGCCTAATAAAAAGATTTAAAACATTAATGAAATATTGAAGTATTCAGGTAAGTTCCAGGTAACTTATTTTACCTAGAACACTACATAAATTGAACTACAAAAGGATATCACAACTAAATGTGTACTCTTTCTAAAATAGTACATAATAATATAAAATGGCTTTTATGTTGACAAATCCTTTACGACTTCAGCATTGGCAACCATCAATAATCTCAAGTATTCAGACAACGCACAGAGCTCTATATGACACCGAAAGAGAGCCACCAGTCAAGGACCCAGTCACTAGCAGGTAAGTGCCTATAGCTCTGTGACTCCTGCAGCGCCTCTCTCAGTGTCTGGGGACCCTGCCCCCGGAACACCCTGGCTGCTCAACACTTTCTTGAACATACAATGTTTCCCTTAGTCCAGTTTACAATACAAAGTATTATATCATAATGAAAACACCTTGGACCCTTTATCTGAACTGTAATAACTTGGTTATTATACAAGAAATATACATTGAATGTCTAAGTAAAAGCAACTGCTCTGCATTAGATCCCTTTTTACTAATCTATTTTTCAAAAAGAATTCAGTACCATTTTTGGTCCTCATGTCGGGTTTCCAGGATCTTTCTACTGTATTTAATTATGATCTAAATCCCAAATCTTGGGTGTTTTCATACTTACCTGTGATTTTCTTTTTTTTAAATGTCCGCTGGAAATAATAAGAGTGATTTAAGACTGCCAATCCAACAAAATATATTCTGTATTGTATCTAATTTTTTAAAAGAATAAATGGCTACCCACCTGTCCTTATGAGAAACTTGACGAAAGCTAGGGAAAAACATTCAACATTTGAACATGCCCGTGCCTTACCCATTTAACCTCACTTATTTCTCGGAACCGCCCTCTGTGAAACACATCTGAAAACTGCAGAACTATAGACCAAGTGTTAAGCAATTTATTCAAGATCAAGCTCCCAAGGACAGGGCTGGGTTCCTAGACTGCAAGGCTTGGTGTCTGTGCAGTCTCTTCACCAGCTGTCTACACCAAAACTGAATAAATATGAAGAAACCCAGTATTAGCAACTGCATTTCATTGACTCTTCATTTCTATAACTTAATTTTCATTATTAGCTCCAATCAAAATAGAAGTGAAAAATTCACATAAAATTTTATGTAAGCAAAGGCTCAAGCTATTTTTATCGTCACTGGACTTTTATTAAGTATTTTAAACTCTATAACTTATTTTCATAAACTTTTTGTTCACTATTTGTTTGGGTAAATCTCATCAGATTTAAACACCCAAGATTCTTAAATGTTCTGGAGTTTTGCGGGAATGTAAACACCTATTTGTAGGTATGGTGTAAACAGTTCAAATTTTAATGTATGACCAACTATAATTTGCATTTCTCTACCAAGTAACCCTCTATAATGGAAATTCACTGTAAAACAGTCAGAGATTGGCATCTGGTACAAATTAAGTTCACGATAATTGTTTATCACAAGTAAACAATCAGAAAATTTAATGCCTTACAATAAATACATGGCATATACTTAGATTTTATAATGGCATCACTCAGTTCTTCTTTGTGATAGCTTCACAGAGACTGTGAAACAGATCATGGAGAGAAACTGATTTTACCATGTGCAAAATTAAAGTGAACCATGTATCACTTAGAAATGAAAACTCCGGCTGGGCATGGTGGCTCATGCCTGGAATCCCAGCACTCTGGGAGGTGCCTCACACCTGGAATCCCAGCACTTTGGGAGACCAAGGCGGGTGGATCACCTGAGGTGGGGAGTGTTCGAGACCAGCCTGACCAACATGGAGAAACCCATCTCTACTAAAAATACAAAATTAGCTAGGCATGGTGGCACATGCCTACAATCTCAGCTACCCAGGAGGCTGAGGCAGGAGAATCACTTGAGCCCAAGAGGCGGAGGTTGCTGTGAGCTGAGATCACGCCATTGCACTCCAGCCTGGGCAACAAGAGCGAAACTCCATCTCAAAAAAGAAAAAAAATAGAAATGAAAACTCCATTGATCCTTTCAATATGTGGGCAGTTAAGGACACAGATCAATGTTAGATGCTAGTCTAAATCAGAGGTCAGCAAACTCTTTCTGCAGAGGGCCAGAAAATAGTTTTGGCTTGTCTGGTCAAATCGTCTCAGTTGCCACCATTGAACTCTGCTGTTTTGCAAAAGCAGCCACAGACAATACATATGCACATAAGCACGGCTGTGTTCCACCGAAACTTTATTTACGGACACTAGAATTTAAACTTCATATAATGGTCAAACAGGTGGTGGGCTGGATTTGAGAAGCGGGCAGTGATTTCCTGACCCAGCATCTGAATACAGATTCTTTTTTGACACATATTTATTTTCTGGCAATTAGGCAACTTCTACTTCATTATCAATAATAAGTGAGAACAATAATACAAAATTTGCTTTAAGGCTTTGTCTAAACTGCTGGTGTTTAAATTTTTAAGACAAATTTTAAAAGTTACTTATGTCAAAATTAAATATACTGCTAGAGGAAAAAACTGGCCAAGTTTCATTTATTTCTTCACATAACATTTTTACAGCTCACAAACAGCAGGAAGCACACCTTTGCACATTAACTATGACGTCAGCTTCACAACAGCATCTGCTGACTGCACCTCCAATTATAATAGAGCAAGTGCAAGTTCACTTGGAAATGTACATTTATACACCTGATATAAATTAAAGATGGCTACACTATAATCTGTGATAGCAAAAGCATGACTTGAGGTTCCTTAACTAGACCACTTGTTTAAGAGAAGTGTACCCAAGCATTTTAAAATGGCCATTTCGGGAAAAGGCCAATATATAAAATATCTGTCATGTAAAATTTAACCATTTACCTTATTAAAAAATAATCTTCAAACTTTAAACCATTGTTTCTGAGTTGTTGTATGGATATACATCATGGCAGCGAGAAACACATTCACTATAAAATTGTTCATCAAGTAATAATATTACTTTTCTTAAAATAAAAAAGCTAAATGAAATATTTTCCTTCCACATTTAATGTGTTAGGTTGAGTTTAGTCCTCCTCCGCCCGCAAGAAATAAGTCTGAGACTTAAATGCTTAATCAAACCTATATTTGTGGTTTCTAATACTGATCCACAGACCACTTTGTCACACGTGTACCAATGAAAACAAAAGGCAAACAGAATCACTGCCATCCCTATGAAAGGAATGGTTCCTTTTCTAACATTCTTTAAAAATATACATTTTACACTCCTTGCACCTCAACAAAGGCAGCAACGTAATAAATACACAGTTTATTCTGTCCTCCTCACTGCAGGCACTGTCCACAAACTACCTGTTGTAAGCCCTCTCTTTTTTGGATTTCTCCAGGGCTTTGTCCATGGTCTTCTCGTTCTCCCCCCGGCACTTGGGACAGTACCATTTGCCCTTGGGTTTATGGTTGAGCCCCACGCACGAGAAGTGGAACCACTCGATGGGGCACTCATCGTTGTCGCAGCCGATCATCTCCCCGTAGGAGACCTGGTTGCACAGGCAGTACGTGGGCTCATTGGGGTCGATGGGGAGGTCGGCGGGGGACGCCTCCCGCTCCGCCTTGGCCTTGGAGCGCTTCTTCTTCTTGGAGGTCTTGGCCTTCTTCTCCTTGGGCGTGCCCGAGGCGCCGTCGTCGTGGTCGTGGTTGCTGGACGCGTTCTCGCGGTTCTCGTTGTTGCGCTGCCGCCGCGAGCGCTTGCTGTTGGGCTTCTCGGCCTGCGCCGCCGCCTCACCCTTGGGCCTGTCCGCGCCAGCCTTGCCGCTGTTGCCCGCCGTGTCGCCCAGCTCCTGCTGCGCCTCGAACAGCTCCACGTGGCTATCCACCTGCCGCGTGCGGTTCTCCACCAGCTCCACCATCTGGCTCACGATCTGGATCTTCTCGTCACCCAGCTCCTGGCTGCGGATCAGTGCGCGCTGCACACAGTGCAGCATCCGCCGCTTCTGCGCGCCGTCCGTCTCGCGGCTGAAGCGCTCGTAGCACTCATCCAGCTCCTTCAGGATCTCTGCAGGAGAGAAAGGCAGAGTCACTCACAAGCAGGACACCAGGACAACCCACGTGGCTCCAGACCCGGGTCTACAGAGAGGGCTGGCAGGGGGTCCGGGGGTCAGCGCACAGCTGCCCAGTACAAAGTCCACCAGACATAGGCCCTCCTGGGCCTTTCTGTTCCTGTGCCCTGGAACTAAAGACAAATGCCAGCACAACTCCCACAAGGCAAGGAGTCGCTCCAACCACCCCAGGGACCCCAAGAACGGTTCGTACGCCCGGGTGACAATGCCCGAAGCCATTAAGAGGAAGCGTTCAAATAAGGTGCAGCGCTTGGGACCCAACTTTTACTAATACTTTGTATTAATGATTATGTCCCATACTGCCATCATTTTTCCTCAAATGATTCTACTTGAATACAATTATTAATATACATGACATACTATAGACATATTTATTACATTTATGGACAATATACATTAATAAAAATATGTTTATTATAAATTATTTGAACATTTCAAATAAAAAAGGTCTTTATTTTCTTTATTTTAACATGCCAACATATAGAATACTCTGTTAAGTTAGAGAATGTGTATACATTTCTATAATAGCTCTCTCTGAGTTAAAAACTGGGTTAACAGCAAAGGTCCAGACTACTCTGTGACTGAGACCCTGTTTCAGCCCCCGTATTTATTCTACTATGTTATTCCTCTCTATTAGTGAAAGCAAGAACAGTTTGACCATAATAATCCAGAACACCTAGCTTGGCTTTATTTTTATTAAAATAAAGCACTGTTGTTATTTTAGGGAAAAGGTCTGCCTCTGGTGCCCAGGCTGGAGTGCAGTGGTGTGATCTTGGCTTACTGTAGCCTTGACCTCCCAGGCTCAAGTGATCCTCTCACCTCAGCCTGAGTAGCTGGGACTATAAGTGCACCACTGTGATGGGCCATTATTATTTTTTAACTGTAGTGAATGCACTAGCCTTGCTTTAAAACGAAGGTAGATTTCACCTTTGCATCTACTGCTTAAACAAAAACATCTTCACATCTATTAAAGTCAATGGACTTTAAAATGTTATCAAAAACAAAAGAAAACCTCTTCAGTATTTAAATGTACACCTTCTTGGGCCTGTTAGAGGACAGTGTATATGATTTTAAAGTGTAATTAGGCAATTTCTCAAGAAACAAAAGCTGTTAAAGAATCTAGTTGACATAAGGAAAGTAAACAGTCTTGCCAAAAGGCTACTTAAATACACAGAAATTCCCAGAGTCCTTTTTCCTCAAACAGTAGCCATTATATTAAACAGTACCAGATTATTCTCCTAAAACCTTTTGGCAGTCTCTTAAAACAAGGCAACATTACTGCTTTTAAACTAGGAAGTACGTGTGGAGGGGCTGAGAGTAGGAAGGACTGTTTAAAACGTTACCCCCATCCCTTTCCAGATCTTAACCTCCAAATAGTTACAAGACATACACCTAACACTAGAGCAAACGTAACATGCCAACGCTGAAGCTTCTCTAAGTGATATTATTTTCCAGAGTATATTCTCAAACTAAGGGCAGCTCTGAAGACATTTCTAGGGGAACAATGCAGGCTGCCCACCACCAGAAAGGAGGAATGCACTCGTCTCACATTGTGATTAATTACACAAATAAATCGCTGTGTTCAACTTATCCAAGTACTACCAATTTCTCCAAATTACTTATCATAGATGTTAAAATATGGGTGTGTACCATTTATTTTTAAATAGATTGAGGGTTATGCAATGCTATCACTCCTTTTCATCAGTAATCAAATCTCTAAAGACAATATTGTCATTTCATAGAAAAGAGAACTGCATCACTCAAATTTAAAAGTTAATAACATAGAGGTTATTTTACATCACAAGCATGCTTCCATCCAGGTGAAGCCTAATGTGTGGGGAAGAGAGATATCCCATGGCAAAATTACCAAGAACTATTTCTGTTACCTAATACTTCTTTGATATCCCAAGCAAAGTACTCTATCAACAAAGCCACTAAGTACAAATATGTATAAATAGGAACAACACTACTGCTAAATAGGAAGCTATCCTTCCAGACACTCTGCTTCTCCAATGCCAGCAACTCAGCTTCAGACACACTGCTGCCTTTTTTCCAAACATATTCCACACCATTACCGTGGAAAACAGCAGCACGTGGAATTCACAGATTAAATGAGATTGTAGCAACATTTAACTTGGTCTGCCCAATTATTTTAAATGCAGTTCAATTTTACATAAGGGTTTCACTGAAGTTCTTTATGAAGTGGACTTCCCAGGGAGTGGGTAGGTATTTTTCTAATAATGCTTGAAAAACAATTCAAGTAACCTCAAACAGCATTTTAAATTGATAAACTAATCCGTGATTATGGATTAACACACAGCTGATGTGTACTAAGCAAAAGACGTTTTACTTGCTACAGAGTAGGTCTGTGAAAACAAGCTTCGTCTTTCAGAACTACGCGGCACAGCTCAGCATTTACAGCTAAGTCCCAGGAGCTGTGACACCTCGTGACAGATGCGCATGCTTCTCGGTACTCCCAGCTGTGCGGCTCCACGACTCCCGGGAGGGCGGAACTTGCGATCTTTCCTGAAGCCAAAAGGCTCATCATCCCAGGTGAACCTGAAGCAAGCAGCAAGCCAGGCTCTCCCCAGCAACCACAGGAGGACGAAGCGGCTCTGTGAACTTTGCTGCCTTGACCACTGGGATCCTCTACCATGCACCGCGATACTTTTTTCTATCGTCGAACGATCAGAATGGTCTCAGCTCCTGTCTCCCTTCACCCCACTTGGCCCGCCCGGCCCGAGGACAGCACCTTCCGAGTGCACCGCGCGTGAAGGCAGCTCCGGTCACTCACGCTTCCCCGGCCACGCGCAGCCCCATCGTCAGGTCAGCAGAGATGTGGCTTGTGATTGTCTGTGGGGCGATCTCGCGGGTCGCTGGGGCACGAAAGGCAGCCCGAACAGCAGCACCGGCCCCTCGACCCCAGGCCCCAGCCGCGGGCTCCCAGATACTACCTTCGCTCCACGGCCGGAAGTGGCGGGGCTGGGGAGGGCCGGGGAGGCCAATGGCGAAGAGGCCACCGGGAGACTCGCCACGCCCCCCCGAGTTACCACCTACGGGAATCGACGATGTGGAGGGCGGAGGCCAGCAGGAGAGCCAATCACGGCTCAGGACGGAAGAGCACGGCCCGCCCCAGCAGCGACAAGGACCAATCAGAGGTCGGAGGCCGAGCAGCTCGAAGACATTCAAATCAACTCGACCTCCTCCCTCCACCCCGCTCCTCCCCGAAAAAGAAAAAGGAAGACAGCGGAAACACAGACCCATGCCAGTTACTGCGCAAGGCCCGCCTTCACATGCCTTAGCGACCAATCGTTCCGCAGGGGGCTGATAAGGACATTCCACGAGGGACGTCACAGCCAAACATTGGAAGGCTGAGGCGGGACGTTCCGCAGTATGCTAATGAGCTTCCTATAAAAATTGCTGCGAAGCTACGTCTCCAATAGAGCGCGCAGAGGCGCCTTCCCTGCAGGGGTATTTGGTGCTTTCAGTGACAGCGGTCGATTTCCCTCCCCCCCCCGCCCAACTCTTCCGTTTCCCTACTGCGTAGCCTTGTAAACATTAGCAAACTCCGATCAGTGAGCCATATTCAAAATAGAACCCCCAAAGCAATGAATGACCTCGCAGGAAAGTTTCCCCAACAGCCAACAATACCCGGTGGACACGAACCCACTACCTCTCCGACACCCTGGGCGGCCAGGTCTGCAGAGAACGACCCACAGGTTCTCTCATCTGCCACGATCTCTCCAAGCCAGCGATCTGCCGGCGCCCCATGAGCTCAGTGCAGCGCAGCGCAGATGGGCGCCTTCCCCGCCTCCGCTCCTCCCCTTCCCTTCCCCACTGCACACAGAGAAAAGCCCTCGTCCTCCGCAAACTACAACCGCCGGCGTCGCCCCTCGCAGTCGGCCCCTACTCGGTGTCCAGCGCCAAGTAGGGGCTGGAGGGGACTGCGCGGGGGCGACCGAGCTACCCCGAGCGGAGTACTGCCCGGTACTTTATGTAACACTCAGATTCCGGACTGGGTGGGGGGCGACGAAGGGCTGGGGGGAGCGGCGTTGCTCCGAACCAAGGCACCAGGTCCGCGGAAACCCCAGCTCAGCTGCCCTCCTCCTGCAGCCTCGTCTCCGCGCCCTACAGCCCCAGGTGCCGGCACATCCCTCCATCTCGCGCCGTAATCTGCACCCCCTCCTAGAGGACGCGGCTTGGACCCGCCGCCCCCTCCCCCGCAGCACCCGCCTCATCACTTCACTACAAAGAGCGCTTTGGTCGCTCAGCCTTCCAGCGAGACCTCTCGCGCCTCCTTCCTCCTCCGTGTCCCGGGCTTTGCACACAAGGACCTTGGCGAATCAAAGGCGCTCCAGACCTTTTGTTCCTGCCCCTGCCGAGGGCCGCCGCTGCGGAGCCCGCCGCTTCCTCGGGTCCACAGCAGGACCGGCCCGGCCGCGCGGCGCGCCGGGACCCGCCGGGATGGAGACGGCCGCCCCCACCCATCCATCACCCCGCCGTACCTTGGTATTTCGCGTCGATCTCCCGCATCAGCGAGACGTTTCTCTGCAAGTCGAAAGGCAGAGACTCGATGGAGTCCAGGTAGTCCTCCACATAGTTCACCAGGTGGAGCTGCTCCCCGTTGGCAGGACTCAACATGGTTCACCCCGGAGGTCCCCGGCGACTCGGCGCGGCTTTCCGCTTCCTCCACCCCCCGCCCCCCTTAAAAAATAGCACTGCAAAATGCAAAGCCCCTCGCTCTCCCGGCGCCCCGCCGCCGGCTCCAGCCCCGGCCCGGAGGCTACATCTGCTAAGCCCGTCCGCCGCCTACGGGTCCGCGGGGACCCCAGCGCCTGGGAGCGCGGGCCGCGGTGGTGGTGGTTCCCGGGCGCACGGCCCGGCCGGCGGCTCAGGCCCCCTCTCAGGCGGCGGGGCTGGCACTGGGGGCCGCGCGTACGAGCGCGCACACACGGGTGGGAGAGGGCCCAGCGCCGCGGCCGCCGCCGCCCACCCGCCCACCAGGCTGGGGAGAAGAGAGGAGAGGAGAGGGCAGCGGGAAGGGGCGCGCTCCGCTGGCCGACGAGCCGCACTTGTCCAACGTGGAAAACCCAAATACCAGTTTCAAACACTTGGGAAACATTCAGCCCCGCTGCGCAGCGCGCATGCGCCCCAGCCCCCTCCCCCGGCGGCGGCCCCGCCCCCCGCCGCATTCACGCCCCTCACAGTCCCGGGCCCTGGGGGCTGCGGGGCCCGAGGCCGGCCTGCGCGGGGGCGTGGCCTTGCCTGTCACTTTTGCCAGGGGCGAGGGTCGCGGAGGGGACAGCGACAGGTCAGCCGGGGCGGGGACAGCAGACGAGGAACAAACTTTACTAGGAGTTTTTGGCACTTGGAGGCAGAGCCTGTTGAGAGGCGCGGATGCCCGCCAGGAAACGCAGGGGAGCGGCCTGCTTCGGTAAAAACCCGACCAGGACCGAACGGACCGCGGGACGGCTGCCTCCAGGACCTTGGCACGCAGCAAACCAGACAGACTCCGTTTCTCAGCCCCTGACTCTCTTCGTCCCCGCCCCACAGCGCTATATAAGTACGGCCTGAAACAGAACTGGCAACCGCGGTAGCCAATCCACTTGCGACCCTCATTTGACAGCCCAATCAGGACACGGAAGAGGCGGGGAGAACCAGAGGTAACGCCCCCCCAGATTCTTACTACTAGAAACCCAAGTCCACCGGGAGGCGGAAGGAAGGGGCCAGCAGGCCACGGGCGGAAGTGGCGACGCATGCGCCATGGCACCCTTCGGCGTCCACCGAACTGCCGCCGCAGAGTGCGCGGGAGACCTATCGATTCTGCGGCCGGACCACCACTCCCAGCAGCCTCGGCGGCTTCCGCGCCTGCGCCGTCTGTCACCGCCCGCCCTTTGTGTCGCCTCCCTGAGCCCAGTTTGGAACGGCTTGGAGACAAAGGGGCCCGAGAGGGAAGCCGCTTACTAGTGTCGAGCCCCAGAAGAGGTGGAGAGGCCCGAGGGGGGGTCTTCTCTCGGCCTTATCTCTTTCCCGCCCTGTGCCATTGACGCCGCTCTCGGAGGCCGTTCCTCACACTTGGAAAGGCCGCCAACAGCAGGCAGGCGTCCGGTCGGCTGACGTCCTGGGGCCGTTCGGCTCCCTGGACTGCCTCCCCATCGCCCCTCTGCCCTCCCGAAGCTCCTGGATTTGGGGTTTTCTGAGAAGCCCGGACGCCGCGCGAGCCCGTTGCCTAGGCGACCGGCCCGGCGCGCCGCCCCGCCCTTTTCCGGCCAAGGACACGCCCCCTCCTGGGCGTGGCCTTGCGCTTTTGTGCACTGCCTGCCGGGCGCCGCGGGTCCTGCGCGGCCTCGGCCTCCGCCCGGCTGCGGACACCGCGGCTCCCCTCTGGGCTGGCCCCAGGAGCTGTGCTTGCCACGCTAGGTTGCCTGTGTTTCGCCAGTTTTCCTCCGCTTTGGGCCCTGCTCTATTTGCATTGTCTTTTTTTACACCAAGTGGAGGAGCGGTGCCTTGTCGGTTTTCACCTTTCTCACCGGACTTTATCTTTCCAGGAGAGCCGGGTGGGTGGTGCTACCTGTGTTTCCAGGCAGGAACTAAGCCCTGTCCCCAGCCCTTGCAATGTTTCTGTGTCACCTCCACGCCAGCGCGGATCTCCATTTTTCTTAGCCTCTCAATTTGGACAGGGTCGGATTTCAGCTTTTATCCACCGGGTTTATCCTGTTGCAAAGCAGAGTGCACTGCTTTAGACACAAAATAATTGCAGTTGAAATGGGTACACATTCTGGGGGTAAGATTTGGAAACATCTGGTATTTGATGGAACCCTGTTGTGACATGTAAAACTATTTGGATTTTTTAAAAGAGTATTCTGTGTAATCCAGTATTTTAAAGTAGATTAACCGCAGTGGTGCTCATTCCAGCACCCTGCAGGGTATTTTGTGCTGTGGATGTCAGTATGGCAAATGAGACTGAATTGAGCTGTTTTGTGTTTGGAATCGGATTGTTCACATTGAAACGTTGCTGCAGTGATAAATGGATGGATACTCCTTGCACTTTGAAGTGGATTTAATCTTCACTTTTAAGCCCCTTCGTCTCACCTACACGTCAGTATAGTTTCTGCTTTGACGTTTGGGGAAATGGCTGTTATTTTACTTACAGATCACACCATTCTAGTCTCGGCCCAGTTATAAGCAAATGAGTACTTTCCTTTCTACAAGATTTATTGGCCACTCCTAGTGTGCACAAAAGACTGTAACACTTGGCCGGGCACGGGGGCTCACGCCTATAATCCTACCAGTTTGGGAGGCCAAGGCGGGCGGATTGCCTGAGCTCCGGAGTTCGAGACCAGCCTGGGCAACATGGCAAAATCCTGTCTATACTAAAAATACAAAAAATTAGCCGGGCATGGTGGTGCATGCCTGTAGTCCCAGCTACTCGGGAGGCTGAGACAGGAGAATCACTTGAACCCAGGAGGCAGAGGTTACAGTAAACCGAGATCACGCCACTGCAGTCCAGCCTGGGCGACAGTGTGAGACTCTGCATTCATTGGCTCTAGAATGAATGGTGTTTACCCGAACTCAAGAATAAAGTTGGAAGTAATTTATTCCTTACAAAAATAAGATGGAGTTTGACCTGGGTTATATCTTTTTTTAAAAAAATCACAGTACAGTACAATCTGAATAATGATTTTGTTCCCCACTTGTTATGTATGCACTTCACATACACATAAAGCAAAAAGGCATCTTACTCATTCAACAAGGAATATTGACGAGTGCCTACCAGGTGCCAACTACTGGTTCATGCGTTGGAGATAGAGTAGTGAAAAGTTTTTTGGACCTTTACGTTCCATAAAACTTTTTAGCCCACCCCTTGGAATAAAAAGTCAAAAAAGGTTCTTCCTTTTCAATTCGCCTCGCCATCTGCGGTGGAGCGGCCAACAAAATGCAGATTTTTGTGAAAACCCTTAAGGGGAAGACCATCACCCTCAAGGTTGAACCCTCAGATAAGATAGAAAAAATGTAAAGGCCCAAGATCCAGGATAAGGAAGGAATTCCTCCTGATCAACAAAGACTGATCTTTGCTGGCAAGCAACTGGAAGTTGGATGTACTTTGACTACAACGTTCAAAAGGAGTCCACTGTTCATGTTGTGTTGAGACATTGCGGTGGTGCTAAGAAAAGGAAGAAGTCTTACAGCACTCCCAAGACGAATAAGCACAAGAGAGAAGGGCAAGCTGGCTGTCCTGAACTACTATAAGGTAGGTGAGAATGGCAAAATGAGTCGCCTTTGTCGAGAGTGCCCTTCTGATGAATGTAGTGCTGGGATGTTTATGGCAAGCCACTTTGACAGACATTATTGTGGCAGATGTTGTGTGACTGCTTCAACAAACCAAAAGGCAAGTAACTGTATGAGTTAATAAAAGCCATGAACTTAAAAAAAAAAAAAAGTCAAAAAATATTTTATCTTTTTTGGAACAAACTTAGAAGATCAAGCGATAAAACAGATAAAACATAATTAACTGTTTATGACAAATTTTAAATATGTCATTAAAGAAAGGTGCTTAATTTTGAAAGTATGTTGAAGAATCTTGTCCATTTCAGTTTTGTTTCCTGTGGTGTATTGCAAAAATGGATGTTAAAACTTTTTTCTGTAGAACAGAAAATAAATTTCAAATGGATTACAAAAATAAGAAACATTAAAAAGTTAAACTTTTTTTTAAAGTTATATTTCCAGTCTAACTGAAAGTGCTCAAACTTCTGAGAGTCAGAAATAAGAGAAGAACGTACACTTCCTTTTTTTTTTTTTTTTTTTTTTGAGACAGAGTCTTGCTCTTGTCTCACAGGCTGGAGTGTAAGTGCAGTGGCTTGATCTCAGCTCACTGCAACCTCCGCCTCCTGGTTCAAGTGATTCTCCTACCTCAGCCTCCTGAGTAACTGGGATTACAGGCAGCTGCCACCACACTTAGCTACTTTTTGTATTTTTAGTAGAGACAGGTTTTCGCCATGTTGGCCAGGCTGGTCTGGAACTCTTGGCCTCAGGGTCTCCCAAAGTGCTAGGGTTATAGGCATGAGCAACCATGCCCAGCCAAACATACAATTCTTTATGTTTTGAAGTGCTTAAAAAATAAATGCTAACTCAACTTGAACTTGAAAACCCCTAAACAATATGCAACCATAATAAATTCTACTTCAGATTTACAAAGTTTTGCCTTGAAAGAAAATGTAATACTGAGAACTTGATTTTGTTATGGTCATTAGTGATATTTGGGAATCATTGATTTTAACATAATTCCTTGTTCTGACCTAGATTGGAGAGGGAGGTGACTTCAAATTAAACGGATCCTCTTTTTGGTATATACGGTGTATTAGAGTTCTCTAGAGGGCCAGAACTAATAGGATATATATATTTATATGTGGGAGTTTATTAAGTACAAGCTTACAGGGTTACAAGATCCCACAATAGACTGTCTGCAAGCCAAGGAGCAAGGAGAGCCAGTCTGAGTCCCAAAACTGAAGCCCCTGGAGTCCGATGTTTGAGAGCAGGAAGCACCCAGCACGGGAGAAAGATGTAGGGTATAGGCTGGGAGGTATGGCAGTGAAGAGCCCTACCGGTCTTTTTTACTTTACGTTAACATTCACCCTCCAAATGTTCAATATGCAAAAGAATCACATTTCTTTTTTTTTTTTTTTTTGAGATGAAGTTTCACTCTTGTGGCCCAGGCTGGAGTGCAATGGCACAATCTCTGCACACTGTAACCTTTGCCTCCCAGGTTCAAGTGATTCTCCTGCCTCAGCCTCCCAAGTCGCTGGGATTACAGGCATGTGCCACCATGCCCAGCTAATTTTTTTGTATTTTTAGTAGAGACAGGGTATCTTCATATTGGTCAGGCTGGTTTCGAACTCCTGACCTCAGGTGATCCTACCGCCTTGGCCTCCCAAAGTGCTAGGATTATAGGTGTGAGCCACCACAGCTGGACAAGGATCACATTTCTAGCTATCATTAGGTTATGGGTTATGTTTATCATTTTGATGATCTCCAAAAGCCTCAAGAAAACAGAATTAGCCAGGCACGGTTGCTTAGGCCAGTAATCCCACCACTCTGTGAGGCCACAGTAAGTGGATCCCTTGAGGACAGGAGTTCCAGACCAGCCTGGCCAACAAGATGAAATTCTATCTTTACTAAAAGTACAAAAATTAGCCACCACGCTTGAGCCTGGGAGGCAGAGTTTGCAGTGAGCCAAGATTGCACCCCTGCACTCCAGCCTGAGTGACTGAGCGAGACTCCATCTTAAAAACAAGTAAATACATAAAATGAAAATGAAAATACAAAAATTAGCTGGGTGTGGTGGTGCACGCTTGTAATCTCAGCTACCGTGGAGACTGAAGCAGGAGGATCTCTTGAAATGGGAGGCAGAGGTTGCAATGAGCTGAGATCAGGCCACTGCACTCCAGCCTGGATGACAGAGCAAGACTCCATCTCAAAAAACAAAAGAAAGAAGGAAAAAAGAAAACATATAATAGAATCATAGCCAGTGAGGGGCTAAAAACATTACATGAATTTTCTAAAGATAGAAGATACTATTGTTAATTTAAAGTCATGATGTTCTATGGACAATTCAAATACGTCAATGTCCAGATTCATGTGCAGATTTGATCTTCAGTGTTACTAAGCTGCTTTCAGAATCTCTGCTCTAGTTCTTTCCTTGAATTCATGTGTTCCCACAGATTGCAGCTGAGCCTTCTGTTAATTTGCTTTATTTATTGGCAATCTAATAACTGAATCAGCCTTATCAGATATTTTACTACCCAGATTTCTTCCCACCTGCACAATTAAACCCTTATAAGGGATTAATTCATCGACATTCAACAAGCCCTTTTCTTTCTTTTTTTTATTTTTATTTTTATTTTTTTTCCAGCCACAGCAAAACAAAAAATCAACCAAACAAAACCCAAGTCTTTTCTGAATTTAGTGCAGGGTACAGTGAGAAGTTCAAAATAATGTACAATTTAAAATACTCAGGAAGATAAATATATACACATTGCACTAGAAAGTTAAAAAATAACATAAGACAAGCCAGTAAAGAAGTGATAATATTCCAGGACAATTTTGAGTAATTAGGTAGCACGAGTGGTTAGCATTGATGTAGGCTACATGGTCTCCTAATTCTAACATTTACCCTTATTAAATTAGACCATACATTACATTAGACTACAGTTAGCTTGAAACAGAATTGCAGAGTTAGACTCCAGGACACTGAGAAACTACTCTAGATACACACCTGTTTGCCTCTACTTTAACATTTCTTTTTTAATAAAACACCAAAGCAAACTAAAAAAAGAACAGAGGAACCTTTCCTGTTTTGAGAACTGGAAAAGCAAAGAGGACTTAAAAAAAATTTTTTTTTAGACGTTGTATTGCAAGACATCAATAGAGGCACTTTTTTTTTTTTGAGACGGACTCTCATTCTGTTATCCTGGCTGGAGTGCAGTGGCACAATCTCAGCCCACTGCAACCTCCACCTCCCAGGTTCAAACAGTTCTCCTCTCTCAGCCTCCCCAGTAGCTGGGACTACAGGTGCACACGACCATGCCTGGCTAATTTTTGTATTTTTAGTAGAGACAGGGTTTTACCATATTTGTCAGGGTGGTCTCAAACTCCTGACCTCAGGTGATCTGCCCGCCTCTACCTGCCAGAGTGCTGGGATTATAGGCGTGAGGCACAGCGCCTGGCCCAGTAGAGGCACATTTGTCAAGATAATGCTTTCAGAATGCTTTTGTTTTCAAGATATGGGATCATAGAACTTTTAACCTTAAGATGAATCACAAGCAGACATTTCTGCTATGCATACCTGATGAATGTAATTTCCTAGCTTTGGTCATTTCATCCAGAGTCCCCAGGAGATTGTTGGAGTGCAGATATGCTGTGTGTGTGGGGAATGCACGCTGTGTATTGGAGTGCAGACGTGGCATGTGCTGGGGTGCACATTGTATTGGGGTGTAGATGTGTGGGGGCACACAATATATTGAGGTGCACATTAAATTGGGATGCAGATGTGGTGTTTGCTGGGATGCACTTGTGCTGTATGTGTTGGGGTGCTCATTGTACTGGGTGCAGGCATGGTGGGTGTTAGGGTGCACTGTGTATTGGGGTGCACACAGTACTAGGTGGAGATATGGTGTGTGCTGGGGTGCACACTGTATTGGGGTACAAACTGTATTGGGTACAGGTGTGGTGTGTGCTGGGGTACACACTGTATTGGGTACAGACGTAGTGTGTGCTGGGTTGTATACTGTGTATTGGGGTGCACACTGTATTGGATGCAGGTGTGGTTTGTGCTGGGGTGCATACTGTATTGGGGTACACACTGTATTAGTTGCAGACATGGTATGTGCTGGGGTGCACACTGTATTGGGTACACACTGTATTGGGGTACACACTGTATTAGGTGCAGACATGGTGTGTGCTGGGGTGCACACTGTATTGGATACACACTGTATTGGGGTACAGGCGTGGTGTGTGCTAGGGTGCATACTGTGTATGGGGGTGCACACTATTGTGGTGCACACTGTATTGGGTGCAGGCATGTGTGCTGGGGCGCATGCTGCATATTGGGGCGCACACTATATTGGGGTGTGGGTGTGGTGTGTGCTGGGTGCATACTGTGTATTGGGTGCATATTGTATTGGGGTGCATACTGTATTGGGCACACACTGTATTGGGGTGCAGGCATGCTGTATGCTGGGGTGCATACTGTGTATTGTGGCGCACACTGTATTGGGGTGAGGGCGTGGTGTGTGCTGGGGTGCATACTGTGTATTGGGGCACACACTGTATTGGGGTACAGGTGTGGTGTTTGCTGGGGTGCATACTGTATTGGAGTGCACACTGTATTGGGGGTGCATACTATGTTGGGGTGCAGGCGTGGTGTGTACTGGGGTTCATGTTATTGGGGCACACACCGTATTGGGGTGCAGGCGTGGTGCGTGCTGGGGTGCATACTGTATTGAGGCGCACACTGTATTGGGGTGCAGGCCTGGTGTGTGCTGGAGTGCATACTGCGTGTTGGGGTGCACACTGCACTAGGGTGCAGGCGAGGTGTGTGCTGCGGAGCACACTGTATATCAGGGTCCACACTGTATGGGGGTGCTGATATGTGTGCTGGGGTACACTGTATTGGGATGCAAACTGTATTGAGGTGCTGACATGGTGTGTTCTGGGGCGGACACTGTGTATTGGTGTGCTGACCTGGGGTGTGCTGGGGTGCACACATGCTTTGTTAGCAGGCCAGGACCCGGTGCACAGTAAACGCTCCCCCCGCGCGGCGGACACAGGTCCCGGCTGGTACCGCGCGTACACGAACGCCTCGCAAGACCTGGGCTAATAAGGAGAGGAGATTGGCGCCGTCCCGCCTCTTCCTGCGGTCTTCCGGCGCGGCGCCGCCCTCCTCCCGCCGCCCGTGCCTTCCCCGCTCCCACCCCTTCAGGCTCTGGTTCTCTACCCTTGCGGCCCGCTACTTGAGCCAGGCCAGAAGGCGGCGCTGCCCGAGGCCAAATCCGGGAGTGGGCGTGGCCCAAGGGCGTGGCCTGGACCTCCCGGCGTGGGGGCGGGGCGCGGTCCTGCTGCTGCTGCGCGCGGGGCCGGATCCCCGCCTGGCCCGGGTCTCCGCCCAGTTGCTGGCGCCGGCCGCTGACATGCTGAGGACGCCGGGCCCTGGCCTGGGTGCTCCGCTGCTCCTTGCCGCGCTGGGCCTCGGGCGGGCTGGGTGGCGCGGGACCGCAGGCCGGGCGGCGAGCGGGGGCCGCGGGAAGGCCTGGCTGCAGCCCACGGGCCGGGACACGGGCGTGCAGGTGTACAACAGCCTCACCGGGAGGAAAGAACCCCTAATCGTGGCGCACGCCGAAGCCGCCTCCTGGTGGGCGGCGCGGGATAGGGAACTGGGGGTGCCGAGCGTGGCGGGGACTTCGCGCGGCCGAGCGGGGCGGGGCGTCGGGCGGGTGTTTGGGAAGTTGCGTGGCGGGCGCCGTTCTAGACGCCCGGGATGCACAGTGCGTTTGCAAGTTTGGGTATGAATTGAGCAAGTATGATAGTAAAACCACGGCTATACATCCCCTAGAAGTAGATACTTTAAGAAAGTATTATACTGGCGGCGCGCGGTGGCTCACGCCCGTGATCCCAGCAATTTGGGAGGTCGAGGCGGGCGGATCACGAGGTCAAGAAATCGAGACCATCCGGACCGATATGGTGAAACCCCATCTCTGCTGAAACTACAAAAATGAGATGGGGGTGGTGGCGTGCACTTGTAGTCCCTGGTACTTGGGAGGCTGAGGCAGGAGAATCGCTTGAACCCGGGCGGGGGAGGTTGCAGTGAGTCCAGATTGTGCCACAGCACTCCAGCCTGGGCGACAAAGCAAGACTCCGTCTCAAAAAAAAAGTAAAAAAAAGTATTATATGATCATTAGAACTGAGAATCGAATGTCTTTTCTTGCAAATATGTTCCACACGATGGATTTTAACTTTGTTTCCAGGTATAGCTGCGGACCAACTGTTTATGATCATGCGCACCTCGGCCATGCTTGGTGAGTTTCCTGTATTTGAATTTTCTTACTTCAAAGAACCATTTATTTTTTAAAGCCTTTGCCGATTTTTTTTTTATCTGTTAAGTGACAACGTACGGATGCTGAATAATTCCTACTTGTGGGAATTGTTACAACCTCATTTGGTTCTTGTAGCGTTTCTGAGTGCTTAGACCCATTTTACAGGTGAGGAAACTCAGGGAAGCAGTGTAGAGTACTGAAAAATGACCGGTTTTGAAACTCAATGTTTCTTTCTGGGTTTGGTGACATCAAGAGGCCTTTGCAGGGTCCCGGGGTCCAGCTGGGCAGAGTCATTCTGTTGAGAAATACTAAGTTTATGAATATTGATGAATGCTGAGTGTATGATAGAATATATTGTTTGCTAGGAAGAACGGTGGCAAGGAAAACCTAGCCGACCACCCCCAGCCCCCACAGTGGAAAGTCATTTGGGGCATCCCAAAGTGGCAGGACAATGTGTAAATATACACCAGTTAAAACAATGCTTTGGGATATCTGACCCTGCCCCCATGACTTCTCGTGAAGAATACCTTCTAGTTTGTCTGTAATCAGTGGTAGGTGGGTAACAGCTGCCTACTTGGTAGTTTTTGATGAGAAAATACAGAACACCTGTTTGTTAATAATAATCACCTGTTAAGAGAGAATAAATACATGGATCACAATCTGCTAGGGGCCTTCAGCCTGGTATGCTGTCAGCCCCTGAGGCCCTCAGCTCAGTAGACTGCTGGCCCCACAGATAGACCCACTTCACTCTTCTGTCTAGGTATCTGCCTCTCATTTCCTTCAGCGCCACCTGGGTGGGTGTCTCCTGGCCGAGCTAGTACTTGGTATCCTTCCTGGGCCTCACCACTTCTTAGCTTCACAGCACTGGGCAGGTCACTTTATTGCTTTGAGTCCTGGTTTCTTCATCTTTGAGATGACAGTAATTTGGATCTTATAACAATTTTAGGAAATAATGCCCATAAAATCCTGCATAACACAGTACCGGATATGTGACATGTCACAGGGCTCACAGTGATTGAGATCAAGTAACCTTCCCAAGCTTACAAGTTGAGAAGGTGTTGAACTGGGTGAGGCTTGGTTCATCTGACTGCCAGGTGGCTGCTCTCTTGACCTCTTAACCATGAGATGTACTGCCTCCTATATTTGACACAATTAAAACATAATGTACAAAAATGACATATTGTACATTTTTAAAAACATGATATTGTTCAGACCTAGACTAAAAGTAAAAAGTCACATTTACTCTGTATACTTAAAAAAAAAAAAAAAAAAAAAAATCTATATATCACCAGGCAAGATTGGAACCTTTTTTGTGTTTTCTTACAACAAAAATAAAATCACCTAGGAGTCATTTTTTCCCCTTCACTTTGGGCTGACATACTGTTATCAAAAACATATTCTGACATCTTTCTTGAATTATGAAACGTGGGGAAATATTTAAAAAAAAAAAAACAAAAACCCAACCTGGAAAACCTCTCACAAAGGTAGAAGAGAAAGAAAACAGCTCTGTTACTGAATAAGCCTTAAACCAGAAGGGGATGAGCTAAAATAACTGCAAAGACAGAACGAAATCTCATCCTTCTGTAGAGCTTTGGGGACACAGCCTGTCTCAGTCTGTGAGCCTGCTGTAACAAAATATCCTCAAATGGATGACTTACAAACAACAGAAATTTCTCTCTTTCTGGGCCTGGGAAGTCCAAGATGAAAGTACCAGCAAATTTCGTGTCTGGTGAGAGTCTGCCTGCTGTGTCCTCACGTGCTAGAAGGTAGAGTGAATTCCCTGAGGTCTTCTATGAGGGTATTCCAGTCGTGAGCTTTCTGCCCCCATGACCTCATCACTCCCAGAGATTCCACCTCCTAAAGCCATCACCTTGGGAGTTAGGGATTCAACCATGAATTTGGAGGGAAGACAAACACTTGGACCATAGTGTGACCCATTGCTTTGGGTGAGTTACAGTGTGGGGGTCAGATGACAAGTTAGGCCCATCTCCTCCTAGTACACTGGGAAATGGGGCTTTATTTTCCTTGGGGAAATATTAAAAAACAAAACCCCAACCTGGAAAACCTCTCCACAAAGGTAGAAGGGAAAGAAAGGTGAGTCCCAGTTTTGAAATTTTCTTTTCTTTTGTTTAGAGAGAGTCTTGCTCTGTTGCCAGACTGGAGTGCAATGGTGCAATCTTGACTCATTGTAACCTCTAACTCCCTGGTTCAAGCGGTTCTCCTGCTTCAGTCTCCTGAGTAGCTGGGATTATAGGCATGCACCACCATGCCCAGCTAACTTTTTCTGAATATTTAGGAGAGACAGTGTTTCACCATGTTGGCCAGAATAGTCAGAATCTCCTGACCTAGTGATCCACCTACCTTGGCCTCCCAAAGTGCTGGGATTGCAGGGGTGAGCCACCACACCCCACTTGAAATTTTCTTGAGTTGTAAGACTGCCAAGAGGTTTATTTAGCCATTTAAAAGATTGACATGCATTTGAAGAGGACTGAGTAAGAAACCCTAAAACTTGTTGGGGAAGGAATCTCTTCTTATTTCCAACTAGGAGAATCAAGTCTTGCAGTTTTAATTTGTGTATTTATCTTTATGAATACAGAAAAGAATACACATCTTGAGTGCATAGCTGAATGCATATTTTTTTTTTTTTTTTTTTTTTTTGAGACGGAGTTTCACTCTTGTTACCCAGGCTGGAGTGCAATGGCGCAATCTCGGCTCACCGCAACCTCCGCGTCCTGGGTTCAGGCAATTCTCCTGCCTCAGCCTCCTGAGTAGCTGGGATTACAGGCACGCGCCACCATGCCCAGCTGATTTTTTGTATTTTTAGTAGAGATGGGGTTTCACCATGTTGACCAGGATGGTCTCGATCCCTTGACCTCGTGATCCACCCGCCTCAGCCTCCCTAAGTGCTGGGATTACAGGCGTGAGCCACCGCGCCCGGCCTGGATGCATATTATAAGCTGTGTCCACTAACAGTACTGTTACTAACAGTAACTAATAGTTACTGTTAGTAACTGTTGGGGCGGGGGTTGGGGGTGGGAGCTGGGACTCTCCCGTTGACCACTTTCCTGTCAGCTTGGCCAGCCTCTCCAGGCCTTCGCTGATCTGAGCTGGCCTGCACTGTCCCTGACCTGAAGAGGCTCCCTTGCCCCACCTCCCTCTCCCCGCCTCAGCTTCAGTGGTTATTTACGTAATCATCTGGTGTCATTAGCATGATCTAATTATTTCATGCTAATGAAATCCCAGCAGAGCAGGGATCCACACAGTGTCTGCAGCAGAAGGGCAGAATTTGAGCAACGAGTAGGTCGCAGTTCACTGGAAAGAGACACCCTGAAAAATGGCCTCCCTCATTTCCAGAGCAGGTTGTCAGGGGTAGACAAATAGATCAGTGTGGTGCCAGTGGGGAGGAGCAGGGAAGGGATGGGGAGTCCGTTGCAGCCAGGCTGGGGAGGGTGCTATGTGGTCTGGCCTCCAGAGACACTGGAGCGTTGTGAGGGAAGACTCTCAGCAAATGAATCATCTCAGCAAATGAATCGTCACCCAAATGAGCATGCTCACCCAATGGACAGAGAAAACGGGACAGAAAGAGCCAGGCTGATGGTCACGTGGTTCATGGTGGAGTTGGAGAAGCAAGCCAAGGTCTCCTGATGCCACGTTCTTTTAATGCGGCTGCCTAGCACCTGTAGGGGTGTGTGGACGTTTGTGTGTAGAGTGGCCCCTGTGGTCACAGCCTGCCTACAGCATCTCAGGGTCTCAAGTTGCTCAAGGCCCTGCATTCTGCCAGTTCTGCCAAGCTGTGCAGCCCCCGCTGTCTCCAAGGGCAGTTCTGGGACTCAGCCTGGGCTCCTCTGGGCCAAGCAAGGGACTTGACTGTTGTTTTCCTTTGCTTTAGGTTCATGTGATTTTTTTCTTGTAAATCTCACGTGTTGTAGGGTCTTTCCCAACTTGAGGTGCATGAAGAGCATGGTGATGATGATGGTAATAATAGCTTTTTTATTTTATTTTTTATTTTTATTTATTTATTTTTTGAGATGAAGTTTCACTCTTGTTGCCCAGGCTGGAGTGCAGTGTCGTGATCTCGGCTCAGCACAACTTCCGTCTCCCGGGTTCAAGTGATTCTCCTGCCTCAGCCTCCCCAGTAGCTGGGATTACAGGCATGCACTACCACACCTGGCTAATTTTGTATTTTTAGTAGAGACAGAGTTTCTCCATGTTGGTCAGGCTAGTTTCAAACTCCCTACCTCAGGTGATCCACCCGCTTCGGCCTCCCAAAGTGCTGGGATTACAGGTGTGAGCCACCGCGGCCTTCTGTGTTTCTAGAATTAGTGCTGTGCAGGCACTAGGACTGGACAGCAGTACTGTGGAGTGGTGGAATTTTGCCCAGTTTATAAGCGAGCAGACTGAGGCCAGAAAAGGTTAAGCATCTTGTTGAGGAATTTTGGAGATAGTTTTGTCCCTGGAACTAACATTTGGTATCAGCTGTGTTTGTGGTGGGGTGAGGGGGAGGCATGTGGGAGGTTAAACTGATACAGTAACATGGCTAGGGTTCCCCCACCTCACCCTAAGAGAAAACAGTTTTATGAACTAAAATGTAGAGCGGCCCCATGGATAGCAGAGGTGAGGGTGACATTAGATAACCTTGAGTTTTAAGGTTACTTTTATGGAAAACAGATTCTTGAGATGCTAAGTGGATTTTAAACCCTTCTAGTTTTAAAAGTCTGAGTTACCACAGAGTAGTATATAAATAAGCTGGCGTTTTTTAATACTCTGTACTAGTGTAAGCGTTCTTAGGATTAATCTTATATGGCTTCAAAGGGATTGTACTTGTTTTGATTTGGTATTTGCTTCTGTCTATTTTGTCATAGTGAAAAATTAGAATTACTCTAGAACATGAACAATAATGGTGAAAACACCATTTTAACTGGGAGATTGTATGACTGAATTTCAATAAAATTAAATAGACTTCATCTCACTTAAGCAACAACTCTGAAACTAAAAGTGCTAATATTATGTCCTGAAATTGATGCAATACCTTTGTCAGTTTCGCCTGTGAAACTTGTGGCCCAGGGCCTGGTGTCATTAGTGAGATGGCGTTTCCTTAAGCTGACCATTGTGTTACACAGTGGAAATCAGGGAGCAGCATGTTAAAATGTAGCAGATTTTTTTTTTTTAATACGATAACTATGATGCCTTTGTGTACTAAAGACATTGTGACACTTTTTTTCTTTCAGCTCGTATGTTAGATTTGATATCATTAGAAGGATTCTAACCAAGGTTTTTGGATGCAACATAGTCATGGTGATGGGTATTACAGATGTGGACGATAAAATCATCAAAAGAGCCAATGAGGTAAGTGGAGAAGAATTACATCTGTTGATAACGCCATTGATTAGTATTCTGAGCCCTCCCTGGAAGTGGTTCTTGGCCGTGGTGGCTCACACCTGTAATCCCAACACTTTGGGGGGCTGAGACGGGCGGATCACCTGAGGTCAGGAGTTTGAGACCAGCCTGGCCAACATGGTGAAACCCCATCTCTACTAAAAATACAAAAATGTGTCGGGTGTGGTGGCGGCGCTTGTAATCCCAGTTACTCAGGAGGCTGAGGCAGGAGAATCGCTGGACCCTGGGAGGTGGAGGTTGCGGTGAGCCTGATTGCGCCACTGCACTCCAGCTTGGGTGACAGAGGAGACTGTCTCAAAAAAGAAGAAAGTGGTTCTTGTTTGCATTTTACGTGTAGCTCTCACATCTTATTGTCCACCTGTGTCCAGTGAGTGTGATCTGAGACGTGAAACAGTGGCGGATTATCAGGGTGATCTTTAGTGTTCTAGTAAAGGAAGTTGACATCTATTGTATTGTGATCGCTGAAGCCTTTTCTGTGGCCTTATGTCATTACCTCCTGTGGTCGTCTCCTGGCTGGAATCTTACTCCTGGTCCTGGCCCTTCAGCCTTCGAGGGAAATTTGAAGTGATTTGAGATCTACAGAAAAATGGCGAGAACAGTACAGAGATCTGCAGCCACCCCTGGGTTTCCTGTTTGCCATCGTTGTGCCGCGTTGGGCCATCATCTTCTCTCTGTTCTAGACTTTGCCCACCAGGCCGCCCTGTCCTCTCTGCACACGCCACGCGGGCCTTCAAAGCAAGGTCATTGGCTCTTGAGGCCTGCACCTCCCTCCCAGCCCTCGCCGTCAGGAACTGAGCATTGCTGTAGTGTGCTGGCTTGGGTGACGTGGATGTCAGCCCTTAGGTGTTGTCCCTGTCCTCCAGCGCCTCTTTCTTTTCTGGTCCAGAGCCCCTTCCAGAGTCCTGTGTCTCCTCCGTCTCCTTCAGTCTTCAGTGGTTCCCTGTCTCATGTCCTTGATGGTGTCAAAGATTATAGGACTTAGCCGGGCGCGGTGACTCAAGCCTGTAATCCCAGCACTTTGGGAGGCCGAGGCGGGTGGATCACGAGGTCAAGAGATCGAGACCATCCTGGTCAACATGGTGAAACCCCGTCTCTACTAAAAAATACAAAAAATCAGCTGGGCATGGTGGCGCATGCCTGTAATCCCATCTACTCAGGAGGCTGAGGCAGGAGAATTGCCTGAACCCAGGAGGCGGAGGTTGCGGTGAGCTGAGATCGCGCCATTGCACTCCAGCCTGGGTAACAAGAGTAAAACTCCGTCTCAAAAAAAAAAAAAAAAAAAAAGATTATAGGACTTTGATTTTGTTGGTGGGCCTCCACTCAGGTTCATTGGATGTGTGTCTGTCTTACAGAAGAGCTGAGAGGTTGAGGTGATTGCATCTTGAGGTTGCATGTATTATTCAGAAAGGCACAGTTTGCCAAATGTTGGCCCAGGGGTGCCCCTTTGGAGGCATCCATCACCCCGTGATTCCTCCCTGCACCCCCTAATCTCCTGGGGCCCAAGCATCCACTGGTCTGTTCTCTGTGGCTCGAAAGCCTGCAGAAGTTAAACACCTGTACAAAGCATGCATACACTGATGATGGAGCACACCGGAAAGTCCAGAAGCAGCTCCGATAATTAATGGGAGTTTGTTTGTTTTATGATAAAGATGGCATTTCAAATCAGTGGGGGAGGGAGGTGGATTATTCCATAGAGTGTTGGCAGCTGGGGGCCACCTGGGGAAAACACAAGCTAGAGGTGGACAGAAGCCTCGCAACCACGTTCAAGGCAGGGCGGAGATTTAAATATAAAAGAAAACCCAAGGCTAATTTGGTAGCCTTGTATTGGGGAAGGCTTTGTAAGTTTGTTTCCAAACCCAGAAGCCATTTATGAGAAAAGATTCAGAGATACGAAAGATTGCTAAGTATAAAAATGACAGTTTCTACATGTCATGAAATAATCATAAAGTTGAAAAACTGGAAAAATGGAAGTTATATCAATGATAAAAGGTTAATTTCTATAATATAAAAATACTTCTGGCCTGATGCAGTGGCTTACGCCTGTAATCCCAGCACTTTGGGAGGCCAAGGCAGGTGGATCACCTAAGATCAGGAGTTCAAGACCAACCTGGCTAACCTGGTGAAACACAGTCTCTACTAAAAATACAAACATTGGCTGGGCATGGTGGCGTGTGCCTGTTAAGTCCCAGCTACTTGGGATGCTGAGGCAGGAGAATCGCTTGAGCCCAGGAGGCGGAGGTTGTGGTGAACCAAGATTCCGCCATTGCACTCCATTCTGGACAATAAGAACAAAACTCAGTCTCAAAAAAAAATCTTTTTTTTGTAATAATAAGAAAAAGACCTACCACTCAATAGAAAAACAGGCATGGATAACTACAGGTCATTTAATACAAATATCTCCTAAACACATGAGATGTTCAGATTAACTCAAAATAGAAGAGGTAAAAGTTTAAAGAACAAAGCACTTGCTAGCTGTCACACTGGCGCCATCCGAAAGTTGGCTGCCCCTGCGGGTGGGGGCAGAGGAAGACAGACACCTCCAAGTGCTGCTGGTCGGGTGTAGCTGGCACAGCTTTCCTGGAAGGCAGCTTGCAGGAGCTGCCAAGTCCGTCAGCCTGTGCCCTCTGTCTCCCGCCTAGAAGCGTAGCTCGGAAACGCACTTGGCCTGCTGCAAAGTGACGTGTGCACAGTTGTGTTTGTAATGGTGAGGAGGGGATGTGCATGGGGACAGGAGCAGGTAAGCACATCTGGAAGGGAGAGTAGAGGCCGCCGTGGAAGGTGCGAGGCAGCTCACTGTGTCCAGCACGATGGAACCCCCCCGGGCTGCTGTGTGCTGTGAGGGAGAGAAGCCAGCAGTGCGGAGCAGTGTGGAATGGGCTGCATTTGGGGCTTCCAAGAAAAAGACACCAGTGTATCCGTAACCATGTTCATGTTTTTGAGAAAACTGGTCACAGTGTGTTCCTTCTGGGAGGAAAGCCAAGTCCTGCACCCCTTTATGCCATTTGACTTCTCCTGGCAATAACTTACGACTGCAGAAAAATAAAGATTAAGCAATATGGAGTCTCACTCTGTTGCCCAGGCTGTAGTGCAGTGGCACAATCTCAGCTCACTGTAACCTCTGCCTCCTATGTTCAACTGCTTCTCCTGCCTCAGCCTCCCACGTAGCTGGGATTACAGGTGGGTGCCACCACACCCGGTTAATTTTTTGAAGTTTTGGTAGAGATGGGGTTTCACCATGTTAGCCAGGATGGTCTTGGTCTCCTGACCTCGTGATCTGCCCGCCTTGGCCTCCCAAAGTGCTGGGATTACAGGCGTGAGCCACCATGCCCAGCCCACCTGTTGATCTTAGGCTCAAAATTGCTTGAAATTTGAGACTTCTGAAAGCGGCAAGAAAACATAGTATTTTTGGGCTTTTTCCTTTGGTCTTTTGTCCCCTGGATAGACATAAGTTAATTGATGTATTGTTGTAAAGGTCTGCTTTGCCACCAGGCTGTACTGCAGGAGGGGGCTGAAGTGTTTTGGAGTACCAGCTGTGTGCTGGGTGCCGTGTATTTTCTCTCTTTAATGTGATACTTATGTAATGTTTTCCTTTACAAAGCTGTCCTGCCCATATACACACTTATTCTTCTATCAGTCTAAGGGATTATTAGGTGGAATATCTCCATGCTCTAAAGAAACTGAAGGCCAAGAGGTTTGATTATTGATTTGCCTAAGACCCCAAAGCCTAAATAACAGCTGGGCAGCAATATGCAGTTCACCAGCTTGCCTTCTTCAGTGAGTATCATTGGTGGGGGTTTCTGGGTTGACTGCCATTCAGAGCCTTGGGCCTCGAGAACCTGGGCCTTAGGCTGACGTGTGGACGTAGCCCCAAATGTGGCGTTGTGCTTGAGAAGGTTGCTCAGTATTCCAGAGTCGTAATTCCTTCACCTGTGAAATCGGGAGACTTGGTTCCCAAGGCTGTGTGGAGCAGCTCAGAGAGACACTAGCAGGTGGCAGGTGCTGGGCTTGGGAGGCCCAAGGGCCTCTTGAGCAGGACCAGCAGTTTCAGTGCCCGGCTCATTCCAGAGCTTCACAGTGTGCTGCGCATCTGTTTATGCAGAGGTTTTTCATTGAAGTTATGAAATAACATGAGTGAACCTAGTCTTGTATCCCAGCCCCCTCGGGTAATGTGGCAGGGGCTGCAGATGTGCGCCAAGGCACCCACATTCGGAATTGATCGTACTGCTTTGGTGGTCCGACCGTCTCCAGAAACCCAGCTGTGGGACCCGAGGGAGTGAGTACTCCATTAAATCTCAGTTGTAATGTGTTAAATTACTTTCAAAATATTCCTTTAGAAGTTTCCTTTTGAATTTTTGTTTTTTTGAAGCAAAGTCTCACTCTGTTGCTCAGGCTGGAGTGCAGTGGTACCTTCTTAGCTCACTGCAACCTCCGCCTCCCGGGTTCAAGCGATTCTCTTGCCTCAGCCACCTGAGTAGCTGGCATTACAGGTGCGTGCCACCATGCCAGGCTATTTTTTGTATTTTTGGTAGAGACAGGGTTTCACCATGTTGCCCAGACTGATCTTGAACTCCTGGCCTCAAGTGATCCGCCCACCTTGGTGTCCCAAAGTGCTGGGATTACAGGTATGAGCCACTGCACCTGGCTAATTTTTCTGTTTTTAGTAGAGATGGGGTTTCACCAGGTTGGCTAGGCTGGTCTCAAACCCCTAGCCTCACATCATCTGCCTGCCTTAGTCTCCCAAAGTGCTGGTATTATAGGCATGAGCCACAACACCCAGCCTCCTCTTTACTGTATTTTTGACTATTTTCCTTTCTCCTGAGAACAAAGGGATAAGATAGGAACCCATTTTCTTATATACACTAGACTAGGATGATTTTGCCCTTGTGTTAGAAAACTGAAGGATCCTTAGTATGTTTTGCTTGTTTTCTATTTTATTTTATTTTTGTTTTGGAGACAGGGCCTCACTCTGTCACCAAGGATGGGATTGCAGTGGCATGATCATGGCTCTTTGCGGCTTCAACCTCATGGGCTCAAACGATCCTCCTGTCTTAGCCTCCCAAAGTGTTGGGATTACAGGTGTGAGCCACTGTACCCAGCTGTGGTTTGTTTTTTACTATATAGTGGAAATTGTGACTTGTTTATTTCTTTTCTAACCAGAAGACAAGGTCAGTAAGCCTTTTTCTCTAGTTAAGCTACTAGAATAGGTTCATTACCTAAAAGGAGTGTCCGCTTTGGTGAGTGGCGAGGTCTAACCCAAAGCCGAGGCACAGTGGGGCCACGTGGCCACCCCATTCACTGGAGGTGGCCGGAGTACGTTTGCTGTTGTGTTGTGAACGTGGGCTTTCTTGTGTCTGGGTGGTTCTGTTGCGAATGCCCCAGACTCATGAACGTGCACATCTAATCCTTCTGCAGATGAATATTTCCCCCGCTTCCCTCGCCAGTCTTTATGAGGAAGACTTCAAGCAAGACATGGCAGCCCTGAAGGTAAAGTGTGGGGCAGGTCGTTGATGCCATGCGGGCGGCAGGCATGAACAGTGACAGCGGGTGTGGCCAGCCTCTGCTTCTACACAAGGGAAATATGGTCACGTCTCCACTTTTCATGCAGGTTCTCCCGCCCACCGTGTACCTGAGGGTAACTGAAAATATTCCTCAGATCGTTTCTTTCATCGAAGGAATCATTGCTGGTGGGCACGCTTATTCAACAGCAAAAGGTAGGGTTTATGTCCTTTTCTTTTTGGCAATGGAGTCTTGCTCTGTCACCCAGTCTGAAGTGTGGTGGTGTGATGTTGACTCACTGCAACCTCCGCCTCCCTGGGTTCAAGTGATTCTCCTGCCTCAGCCTCCCAAGTAGCTGGGATTACTGGTATGCACCACCACGCCCAGCTAAATTTTTTTGTATTTTTAGTAGAGAGAAGGTTTCACCATGTTGGCCAGGCTGGTCTCAAACTCCTGACCTCATGATCTGCCTGCCTCCGCCTCCCAGAGTGCTGGGATTACAGGCATGAGCCATTGCGCCTGGCTGATTTGTGTTCCTAAAACTAAAACATTACTGGGATTTGGAGAAAATGGATGTGTTTATGAGTTGCAGGAACATACTGAACATTTCCTGTCTGTCTTGATAGGATTCCAACAGCAAAGCTGTCGTGAGGTTTTCTACGATATTGTGTCTCTTTGCAAAATGGTTGAATTAGTTGTTTATAAAATTCTTTTCCAGTCACCTTTCCAGAGAGGCGTACATCTGGACAGCTAGACTTGGTAACAGTTGTGGAATCTAGATGGTAGGTGTACAGGTATTCATTGTGGTGTTATTTCATCTTTGTTTAGGTATTTTCCTAACAAAACATTGGGGACAGACACAGTACCTCCAGAGACCTGCTCCCTTCTTATTAAAAGTCAGCCCAGGTCATCCCCCTCTATTTGGCTATCATTTCTTCACAGGCCGTTAAGAGTGAGTTGCAGGGCCAGGAGTGGTGGCTGACACCTGTAATCCCAGTACTTTGGGAGGCAGAGACAGGTGGATCACTTGAGGCCAAGAGTTCAAGACCAGCCTGGGCAACATGGTAAAACCCTGTTTCTACTAAGAAAACAAAATTAACTGGGTCTGGTGGCACATGCCTGTGGTCCCAGCTACTCCATAGGCTGAGACATGAGAATTGCCTGAACCCAGGAGGCGTAGGTTGCAGCAAGCTGAGATCGCACCACTGTACTCCGGCCTGGGTGACATTGCAACACTCTGTCTCAAAAAATAAAAATAAAAAAGTAAGTTGCAAGGCTGGTTATAGTGGCCAATACCTGTGATCCCAGCACTGAGGCAGATGGCTCCCTTGAGTCCAGGAGTTCAGGACCAGCCTGGGCAACATGGAGATACTTCTTTTCAACAAAAATAAAATACAGAAATTAGCCAGGCATGGTGGCATGCTGCTGTAGTCCCAGCTACTCAAAATAAGGTGAGAGGATCGATGGAGCCCAGGAAGTTGAGACTGCATTGAACCATGATTGTCCCACTGCGCTCCAGCCTTGGGAGACAGCGCAAGACCGTATCTCAAAAACAAACAAAAAAAAGAGTGAGTTGCAGATGTTCTGACGCTTCAGCCCTGACTCTTCAACATGCATCTCCGCATAAAAGGAGTCCTAATGTCATGGTCAGACCTAAGACAATGAATAATTTCCAGCTAGCATCACGTGTCCTCCGTGGTAAATGTACTCACTTGTCCCCAGGTTTCTTTTGTGACTGACACCCACCTCCCCACACTGTAATCTCACCAAGGGCATGCGCCGTGTGTGCGTTTGTTGGTTTAGCCTCCTTACTTTTTCCCCTCCTCGGAGACCCTTTTATCTCTTTCATTTTTTCTGGGTAAGCACATGTACTCTTTGAAGACCCCGACAGGTCAGTCTTCCTGTGGAGCAGTCTGTTTAGATTTGCATGTTGCTCACTGCTGGTGGTTTGTTGGGTTGGTTTGCGGATGCTAATCTTTGTCTGGTGGCCCCCAGGCAAGGTTGGTGTCCTGCTGTTTTGCTGCTTCCATGATCAAGCCTTGAATTCTACCATAAATCCAAACTAAATCCTACCCATCCTGGCCGCAAACCCCGACCCTGGCCTCATCTCTCCATGAAGTTCTCCTTCACCAGGCACAGTTGAACGTGAACTTTCTTTCTCAGCCTTGCTGTCTCTGCTGCACCATTTGGCAGCCAGCCCTGCACTGCTGTACTTTGCTGTTTAATGTGTCCATATTTCCTCCCCGTCTGCATCATAAATTCTCAGACCATAAAAGCCTCTTGCTTTACTGAATGACCCCTCAGGGTGTCCGGCCCACGCTGAAGATATGCAGGTGTTGAATGTTTGTTGCAGTGAGTGAGAAAGCGTAAAGCATTGTCCTGGACAGGCCTGTCCTTCCTGGGTGCTGCCAGGAGCGTAAGCCGAGTAGGTGAGGCCCCAAGGACCCACTGGGTAGGCTCTGCTTATGGAAGTGGCTTTTTCCTTGTTCTAATCCAGTAGGTTTAGATTTTGTTTCCAAGAAAACATTTTTAAAGGACTTAGGTGGTTGAATGAGAGTTTGCACCAGAAAACATAGGAGTTACTTTTTTGCTGTCGTGTTACTTGAAATAAGACGTGTAGGCCTGTGCTTCCGTTTTAGGAATACACTGATGAATGCTGGTGAGTCTTCAGGGATTCTCATCTTCACAGGCTTTAGGAATGCATGCTGTTCGCTGTGTTATTATTGTGTTTTATTACAAACATTTGATGATAGTATCAATGTATTAATTCAGAATACACTTACATTCACTCAAACCCCTGTAATTTGGACTTTGTGACAATTCCACAAGGACTCAGCTGTGATTTGATCTTTGAACTCTTGGTGAAGAACAATTTGCTCAGCAAATTGATAACATAAACCAAAGTAAGGGGGAATGTTTCCCCTATTTAAGGGAGTGGTTTCTCTCCAGCGAAGGGCTTTTAAAGGACCGTTTGCATTCTGACTTCATAGAAAGAAGCTCCCAGGGCCTGGGTGTCCCCCTACTGTCCTCTGGTTCATCCCCAGCATGGAGTGCCAGCTGGGGGCCAGGGAAGATGCTGCAGGGACAGGGCAGTGTTTTCTATGGAAACGTCACCCGGCTTTGTTTGCCCAAGCCACCCTGCCCTTTCCTCCCACCAGTGATCACTGTGCTGAGGGGGCCTGTACTGTCCCTGTGCGCTGAGGACGTGTGGCAGGTCCTGGCTGCAGCTTGTGTTTGCCAGTTGCAAAGTTTCCTTGGTCTTACCAAGACCAGCATCTGCAGTAAGGACAGTGCTGATGCAGATTAGTAACTGCATTAGTCACAAAGAATGTGAGGACTCAAACTTTGTAAAGGCTAAAAGTTGCACCCACACCTGCGCCCTGAGGGCAGCCACTTGCTGCTGTGTGGTTGGAGGGTGCTGCATGGTGGCTGCGGATCTGTGGTGCTGAGAACGGCCATAGTCACAGCCCGGGTTAGCATTGCCCCCTTCCTGGGGAGACACACAGCCTGGAAGACACGGCGGCTGCGGCCTGGCAGCCTCGGAGCATGGGTTGGTAGGTAGCGGACGGAGCTCTCACTCTGAGCACCTCCTCCCCCCTCTGCTTCCTTAGGCTTTGTGATGGAAGTGGCAAGGACAACCCTGTGACCTCCGTCTGCACAGTGGACCTTGGCACTGAGCCTCACAGACACTTCAGTATGCGGATGATGTTCTTTGGGGTTTTTGGTAGAGATGGGGTCTCACTGTGTTGCCCAGGCTAGTCTAGAACTCCTCAGCTCAAACAGTCCTCCTGCCTCAGACTCCCAAACTGCTGGGATTGCAGGCGTGAGCCACTGTGCCGTTCCAGATGATATTTCTAATGAAAAAGGTAGCTTTAGAAGATGACTGGGTAAAGAAAGAATGTCTTTGCTAGCTGGCGTGTAACATAAAGTAGGGAAAGAGTGTCTTTCCTAGCTGGCGTGTAACACAAAGCCCAAGGTCTAAATGAAGGTCAGTGATAATACTTTTCTTTTTTCTAATTATTTTCTCAACAATTTACAAAGAACTTACATTTGTGTTTTCACTTTCATATCTGTGTACTCATGATGTGTCCAAATCATGCATTTATCGTATAGTATTGTTTTTAATTTTGGTTAAAAAAAATATATTAAGCCAGGCATGGTGTCTGTCATGCCTGTAATCCCACCTATTGGGAAGATTGAGGTGGGAAGACTGTCTGAGCCCAGGAGTTCAAGGCTATAGTGAGCTGTGATTGTACCACTGCACTCCAGCCTGGGCAACGCAGCAAGACCCTGTCTACAAACATAATTACTACATATGCATATGAGGGCCAAATGCTGTGTTCTATGTCTAAATTCTAATCGCTTGTTAGATGGTAAGCTTGTGTATATGCTGATGTTCAGACTGAGAAGTGATGAATTCTTAATTGCCTTTATAACCAGGCAACGTCTACTTCGATCTGAAGTCAAGAGGAGACAAGTATGGCAAGCTGGTCAGCGTGGCCCCTGGTCCAGTTGGAGAGCCGGGTGAGTTGGCTGGGCCCAGCCCTGTGGGTCCCTGCCCCTGCCTCAGGTCTCAGCTCTGGGGAGATGAGATCTGGAGCGCAGACCCCTCCTCTTGCTCGGACACTGGCCGCACCCAGATCACAGCTGCGTTTTAAATTTAATTCATTCTCTGGATGGCTCCAGCTTGTGAGGCATAAGGTTCAAACGGCAAGTGGGGCATCGCCCACCGCCATCGTGCCTGGCTCCGCTCCCTGGAGACAGTGCCGGTCACTGGTCTCCTGTTTCCTTCTCAGGATTTTTCAGTGCACGTGAAAACCTCATGCACGTGCATCATATTTTAACTTTCTTCTGTGTTTTGCTGTTACTGTACATTTAATTCCCACATGTGTCTTACCATCTGTTAAACTTCCCCTCTATTTGGATCTCTTCCGTGCTCCATTCTGTTCCAGGGAGTTGTTAGGTCAAAACCATTTTTATGGAGAAGAAATAGTAAGTGCAGTTTATGGAACTAAGTTAAAAATAATTTTAAAAAGATTCTGCTTAAGGGAACCAAACAAGATTAATAGGCACAAACCCACAGATGATTATTCTAGGTATTTCTGGTTCTAGGCACTGTCTTTCTGACCTGTAAACAGTCGGATGAATCCTAGTCATTCATAGCACTGACCCCTCAAGTTCGTTCCTTCATCCTCCGTGGTGTCCCGCCCCGCTCCCCGCACAGCCCGGAACACAGAAGCCCACGTTATCCACGTGTGAGGCGTGGCTACCAGCAGGTCGTGGGCTGTGCTTGCACATGTGGAGGAGGAGTTTCTGAGAGTTGTACATTCTGGCATCAGGAAGTTTTTTTTTTTTTTTAATTATTTATTTTAATAGATTTATTTTTTAGAGTCATTTAGCTTCACAGCAAATTTGAGAGTATACTGTCTACCTGCTGCCCCCACACTGCCTCCCACACTGAGAGGATCCCCGCCATTGACACATCAGCTTCGCCCAAAGACCGGAGCTGACGTCAGGGTTCACTCTCGGCACTGGGGCTCTGGGTGTGGTGAATGTTTAGTGATGTGTTTCCACCATTACAGCATCATGCAGGACCCCTGCACTGCCCTAAAAATCCTCTGTGGTCTGTCCGCTCACTCCTCCCTCTATCCCAGCCCTGCAAACCACTCATCTTTCTACGGTCCCTAGTTTTGCTTTTTCTATAATGTCATATGGTTGGAGCCATACCCTGTGCAGCCTCTTCAGAATGGCCTCTCACTTAGGAATACACATTCATTTTCCTCCGTGTCTTTTCATGGCTGAGAGCTCGTTTGTCTTTAGCCCTGAGCCACATCCCCGTGTCTGAATTGACAGAAACGTATCCACTCCCCTCCTGAAGGCCATCTTCGTTTTGGCAATTACCAGTCAAGTTGCTGTAAACATCTATGTGCAGGTCTTCAGCTCATTTGGGCAAATGCCAAGGAGCACAGTGGCTGGGTCCTCTGGGAAGAGGTTTCTTTGTGTAAGAAACTGCCCACTGCTTCCAGAGTGCTGCCCCATTTTGCATCCCCACTAGTGATGAATGAGTCCCCGTCCTTCCACATCCTCACAGCAGGGCTTTTTAAAATAAAAAGTACCTTCTTATGCAAAAGCAGCATATGTAATTTATAATGGTATAACATTAGGAAATAGAATTATGCAAAACAAAGATAATAAAACCACCATTTTTTACATACGGTGAAAAAAAATTTTGATGCCTTAGTGTAATTTCCAAGCAATGTTGTTTTCTTTTTAATTTTACATTGTTATAATAATACAACAATAGAAAACAGTGTTTAAAAATGTTCAGCTTGGCTGGGCATGGTGGCTCGTACCTGTAATCCCAGCACTTTAGGAGGCCAAGGTGGGAGGATCACTTGAGGCCAGGAGTTCAAGACCAGCCTGGGCAATGTGGGGAGACCCGCTGTCTCTACCAAACAAACAAAAACGCCCAGTTCCGTGAATTTTGTTCAGTGGAGACCCTGTGGTCACCCCCTAGGGGAAGGAGACAACAATGGCAAGGGACTGAGGGCACTTGGTTCCTCGGGGTCCCTCGGCCCTGGCTGCCAGCCTCCCTGCCCCACCTTGGGGGCGACCATTGCCCTAACTCTGACAGCGGCCACCTCCTCACCTTTCTGAGTGGGTTCATTGCCCAGGCGCGTGTGCCTTAGCATGACACTTAGCCTTAGCTGTTTTATATTTGTGTCTTCTTGTTTTTAGTCTATATGTTCCTCCCCTGGCTTTTCCCCCTTGCTGCTCATTTGAGGAAGAAACACCCTGCGTCTCACAGTTCCCCTAGTGGGATTTCGCTGGCTCTGAGTTCTGTAGTGTCAGTAACATTTCCCTCCGTCCTGTGTGGTTTTTCTGCAAATTGGTAGTTGAATCTAGAGGCTTAATCCAGTTCTAAATTTCTGGAGAAGGCTACTATGTAGGTGGCATATTCCTCACCGGGAGACATGCCAGGGCTCTGCCTCTCTCTGTCAGCAGCCCTGGCCGCTTTGGGCCTCCATCCTTCACTGCAGAAAAAGGTTGCATGATGGGCGACTCCCATTCCGTCATTTCTGCATTGTTTGTGGAATACCTTTTTTTTCTATTTTTTTTTTTTATTGACAAGCAACATAATCAAAAACAAACACAACCACCTTAAAGCCGAAACAGCAATAAGCCACACGGCTGCCGCAGTTCACGGGTGCACCTGGGGTACATGCCCCATCACGACGAGGCAGGACGTAGGCACATATGTGACCAAGAAGAATCAGAAATGGACACACTGGAGAACAGGAAGCATCAAGAACTTTTCATCAGACGATCCCGAAGCTCTCTGCTCTTTTCCTCTTCACCTCCATGTCCTCTTGTTCAGTTCCAGCCGAACTTATGATAATCCCCAGTCGCTCCTCATTTTCAGTGTCTCATCATCTTCAGACCTTCTGGAGACTGAAGAGACATTCATGCTAAATCTTTTGAGCTCTTCCTTCAGCTTATCCAGGTTAACCATGGGTGTGTTATCAGATGACAGACCTTCTGTTGGAACTGAAGAAACGCCAAACCTGGCTGCCCGAGCAGCTTTTCTACTCTCCGAGCTCACAGGTCCATTGACTTGTTCGCCTTCTGCATTCTCTCAGTCTGTGGCGTTTCAGATGTAACTTTCACCACTTTGGTCTCTGCTGCCGCATCAGCAGTTTTTTCAGGGGGTTCTTCCTCTTTGATAGGGAGCTCTGTGGGCTTTGTTTCTTCCTCCGCTTTTTCATCTCCCAGTACATCATCTTCATGTGCCGCCTCTTCAGCATGTCCTGAAAGATAAGTCTGGAGTCTGTGGACAACATCTTCCTGCCGGGCGCGGTGGCTCACGCCTGTAATCCCAGCACTTTGGGAGGCTGAGGCGGGCAATCACGAGGTCAGGAGATGAGACCATCCTGGCCAACATGGTGAAACCCCGTCTCTACTAAAATACAAAAAATTATCTGGGCATGATGGCAGGTTCCTGTAGTCCCAGCTACTCAGGAGGCTGAGGCATAAGAATTGCTTAAACCCAGGAGGCAGAGCTTACAGTGAGCTGAGATCACACCACTGCACTCCAGCCTGGTGACAGAGTTAGACTCTGTCTCAAAAAAACAAAAACAAACAAAAAGATCTTGCTTTATTCCCTTGGTCTCCAAACCCACGAGCAAGATGTTCCTTTTCTTAGTTCAACAAGATTCAGCTTATGGAGCTCCACTGTCTCCGTTGCCATCTTGTTACCCCTCCCCCCCGCTTTTTTTTTTTTTTTTTTTGCAAGGGAATCTCCCTCTCTTGCCCAGGCTAGAGTGCAGTGGCATGATCTTGGCTCTCTGCAACCTCTGCCTCCCGGTTTCAAGCAATTCCCTCTGCCTTAGCCTCTGGAGTAGCTGGGATTATAGGTGTGCGCCACCACACCTGGCTAATATTTTTATTTTTAGTAGAGATGGGGTTTCACCATGTTGGCCAGGCTGGTTCTAAACTCCTGAGCTCAGGTGATCCCCCTGCCTTGGCCTCCCAAGGTACTGGGGTTACAGGTGTGAGCCACCACGCTCGACCTATTTGCTGGAATACTTTTGTACAGGCAGACTTTGATCTGGTTAGTCAGGGGTACAGTTTGTATAAGAAAAGCACGACCTTTCCCTTAATTTGCCAGTTTTCAAAATAAGGAGTTGGCTTCCATATCTTCCTCTGGCGGTGACCAGGTCATGTTCTTTCATTGTTGGGAGCTCGTGGGCTGTAGTGCATGTGCTGTGTTAATCGGTTGCTGCCCTCACCTTATTGAGCCTCAGTTTGCCCCCTCTTTTGCTGATGGGAGCTACTCCCGAGTCCCTTACACTCAGCCCTGTTGTAGTTGATATTTTGTGCCTGGCTGTCTGATACAGTAAGATATTCCTGGATCGTCTTGGAATAAGCCGTTTTTCCTGGAGGCCCCATTTTTCTTTTAATGAAAAATGGTATTTTGAGAACACAGCATGGGCACCACGGATACTCATGGCTGCCATCTGTCATTGTTCCTTGCAGACTGAGGTAATGAATGCGTCCGCTCCATAGGTCATGTTGATATGCCAATTCAGGGCCACGTGGTTTCATTAACCTCGTCTGTTCACATGTGTAACTCCCTTTTCCCCTGTGGCAAATCCTGGCCCTTAAGGACACTGTGCGTGACAGGATACCCAGTGGTCATCCACCTGCTTTAGCGCATCCCTGACTAGCAGCCCTGCCCAAGGCTTGACCACAGTTAGAAGGTTCCCATGGTTAGAAGGTTCCTATGCACGTGCCTCCTCCCTGCCCTCACGTGTCCACACGTCAGAGCACCCAGCCTCCGCCTGCGTCGCCTTCTGCAGCCCCATCCTCTCTCCCCCCTCCCACTGTCTCCAGGTCGGTTCTTTCCCTGTTGTTTTTGAAGCTCATTCCTCAGCACTTTCTGAAGGAAGAGCCCTTCCTTGGAAACGGTGTTCCCTAAATTCGTGCCTGTGGCTGACAGCGTGCTGCCTTCTACTTCAAAGTCAGTTTGGCTGGAAATACAATCGTTGGCCACATTTTCTGTCCTTACGTATCTTAAATACATTCCTGTCTTTTCCTTCAGCAGAAGGTGTTATTGATGCTCTCATTTCCATGCACTATGTAGTAATTGTTCTATTTGCTTGGATGCCCCGAGGACGTTATTCTTACTAAAATGACTAGTAATAAAAAACAGTCCGACCCAGAAAAATATCTGTGTCTTCACCAAAACAGTTCAGCGTCTTCAAATTAATCAAAGGCGCCTATATTGGTGCTCATGGGTGGTAAGAGTGACCTTGGGGCGTTGTGCGCCTGTGGTGTGCCTGTGCTGGGTGGATGGGACAGCGCCTGTCCTGAGTGGATGGGACACTGCCTGTCCTGGGTGGACGGGACACTGCCTGTGCTGGGCGGACGGGACAGCGCCTGTCCTGGGTGGACGGGACACTGCCTGTGCTGGGCGGACGGGACAGCGCCTGTCCTTGGCGGACTGGACAGCGCCTGTGCTGGGTGGATGGGACAGCGGGTTTTGGTGAGCACGTACCACTGGCAGTCTTGCTGCAGCGTGACGGGCGCCTCGCTCAGAGTCTCGGCTCCGCCAGCCGCATTACCTGACCTGATCACACACCTGCATTGTTCCTTCCTGTAACTTGGATGAAAGATAGATCTTCCTTTTTATGGGGGTTTGCCCTCACTGAGACCATCAATGACAGTGTCCACAGAGGACGGGCAGCTCTCCAGTGAGGCCATGCTGCCCTGTCCACACACTAAACCAGTGCCCAGACAAGGAGCCATGCTCCACATGGAAAGATCTGGGAAATGACCTATTTTAGGAAATGGCGATTTTAGGGCCATGCTCTTATTGGGGTGCATTTCTGTCTACCCCACTGTGGCCTCTGTCCAGGCTGCCCTTCACCTGCGATGGCCGACTGCTGCCTTTTCCATTTGCCTGCTGAATTCCCATCCATTCCTCCTAACCTTGTCAACTCTGCGCAGCTGGGCCTTGGGCACCTAGTCCTCCCTGGGTGTGACGCACGCCCTTGTCATTCCCCTTGAGTCCATGTGCCTGTGAGTGTCACTTACTCACCTGGAGGGCCTGGCTCTGTGTAGCACCCGTCACTAGGGTGCGTGACAAGGAGAGGCCGCACCGACCTGCTTGTTCCTGGCTCCCTTTGGTGTGCTCCCAGGTAGGATGCCCACCCAGGAGCAGCTGCGTGTCACTGAGCTGGCTGTCGGCATCCAGCATTTAACCCAGTACAGAGCTCGTCTATAGGATTTAGTCAGCTGGGAGGGACACCCTTTAAAGGTGGGCAAGAGCCCCTCTGAGCGCTCTCCAAGGCCCTCCATCCGGAGCTGGCTCGCTGCCTCGCTGGAGCGCGTGGCCTCACTTCCCCTCCTGCGTCGTCTTACCCTATGAATGTGATGGGGCCTCTCTGATAATTTGGTGATTTCCTCCTACTCCGTATGATTAGTATCTTTTTGGAAAAAACAACCCTGAAACTCAGTTACTGATAAGCAGAGCATTTCTCATAAGACGGGATAAAGAAAAATGGGGAAACCCCACCGGTACATAGTACATTCCTGAGAAGTGAGCCTCTGTGGGTTCCTGGGCGCCCAGCTCTCCCTGTGTGCTGGTGCATCTGAGATGACAGCATTACTGGTGCTCCCGTCCCTCACTTGGGTGAAACAGGAGTAGGTGAGACGTGTGGGGCTCCTTAGAAGAGAAACAGCCCGGGGTGTGCTTCCCACCAGCAGCTGGAGGGGCTGCCGTCGGGGCGGCCAGCTGAGTTTCCCTGGTGAGGGTGACCAGCTGAGCTTCTGAGGTGGGGGTGACTGTCTGGGTTTCCCTGGTGGGTGGCTGTCTGGGCTTCCGTGGTGGGGTGGCTGTCCAGGTTTCCCTCATGGGGTGACTGTCCGGGTTTCCCTGGTGGGGTGGCTGTCCGGGTTTCCCTGGTGGGGTGGCTGTCTGGGTTTCCATGGTGGGGTGGCTGTCTGGGCTT